GTCGCGTGCACGCACGATCCCGGCTGAGAAGGCCGTTCTTTTCAGGGCCGCGCTCGAGGATATCGGGATCTCGAAAATGAGCTTCACGGAGCAGCGAACTTGGTCCGACAACTATTACTTTCCCGTCGGGTTGTCGCTTCTTTATACGCATCAGTATATGGCGTATTTTGTATGTTTCGCCTGACAGTATCTCCGAGTAATCCTTAAAAACCGTGCCACGACCATCACGGCCAAGCAGGAGCGCAACAATCATAATCGCGAGTGCTTCGTCCAGGTCGCGTCCGCGAAAAAAATACGAAAAATCGCGGTAAGATGGAGTATATTCTGTACTCATTCGTGAGCAAGTAGCCAGCGAGTCTCCCTGAGCGAGATTTCCACGAGATAACTATTACGTGATGCACCGGGAATGTAAGTAGGAGCGGAGAAAGGGAGAGATAGCTGTGAGAAACTGGCTACGTTACCTCGTCGTACAAAAAGGATCAAACGCGGGTGTAGAAAACCGCTTTCAACGAGAGCCAAAGAAAGAGAGAAAGAGAAAAATAGAGATAGGAGGGAGTGGGGGGCAGGAGAGGGAGAGAAAAAAGAGAGAGAGAGTCGACAATGTTGGACGCGGAAGCTGCATCATCTCCGTCGGGTCCGTTCGTCCGTCGCGTGGGTGTGCGCGTGTGTTGCATCGGTATCGCTTTCCGCCGGCAGGGATAATCCGCTTACGCAGGTCCCCGGCTCTCCTCGCACCCTCTGGTCCACCCTCCCTTCGTTTTCCTCATCTCGCCGGGTATTGTTGCCCGGCGTATTGTGAGAAAACAGCATTTTCGACGCTCGCGAGGTGACGACGAGAAGAGGACCTTATCCTACCGTTATTGTCGACATTGTCGTCGTCGTCGTCGCGACTGTGGTGACGTATGCTGCTGGCCGTGCTCGCGTGGGCGAGGATACACCTGACGCGCACGTACACGCGAGTCTGGTCTTCTACGCACCGACAGTCGGATGATGACGATTGCGAAACACCGGGAAAATCGCGAGGCTGCGTTAAACAGATAACGAGAGCGTTTGTCACTTTAAGACTGCCTTCGGGGCTTTGAATAGAATACACAACTCGTGAAAAGCTGAGGTCTTAAGAAAATTTATATTTTCTCTTACGTGACAAATATTTTATCTATTTACGTAAGTAAATACATTAATGCACGAATAAGTAAAAATAAATACTTACACTGAGGGAAAAATTACTTTAAAATCAACAAATATTTCTTTGATATATATAGGTGCCATTAACATATTTATTTAAATCTAAATTCTCTCTATTTAAATCAAATATTGTTTACTTAAATCAGGTAAACAATATTTGATTTAAATAAAGAGAATTTTAATTTAAGTGGGCTCTTCTGTCCTTGTTTGTTCCTGAAAGTTGAACAAGGACAGAGGACGCTCATAGCGCTAAATAGCGTCTCCCCGAACGCAGTCTTAGAGTAACGAATCTTCGTGTGTATAAGTGGAGTCGAAATTATACGTTAATGTCGTAACATTCCACTTTGAAGATCTGCACGTATTAAAAACAAGCTTTTTGATTGAAGAAATTAGAAGAGATAAGATATGATCATTCTTTTGATTATTAGGTAAGATATATTATCTTGTTGTTCTATTTTTATGTATATTATTCGTATATTCTACACGGAGAGAAAAAATATCTAAAAAATAGTATACTGAGGGAAAAATTACCTTAAAATCAACAAATATTTTTTTGGTGAGTGCTATTAACATATTTACTTAAACTTAAATTCTCTTTATTTAAATCAAATATTGTTTACCTGATTTAAGTAAACAATATTTTGTTTAAATAGAGAAAATTTAGATTTAAATAAATATGTTAATGGCACCCAATCAAAGAAATATTTGTTGATTTTGAGATAATTTTTCCCTCAGTGTAAGTATTTGTACTTATTCATGTATTAATATATTTACTTACGTAAATATATAAAATATTTGTCACGTAAGAGAAAATATAAATTTTCTTTCAGCTTTTCATGAATTGTGTATTCTATTTAAATAAAAGAATGTGTAGATGTAATTAAATATATTATTAATACCTAAAAAATTAATATTTACTATATTTTAGACATCTTTTCTTTCAATGTATATAGAAAGAATTTTATAGTAAAAATTAATGTAGGATTTTATAATTGAGGAATAGATCGACATTTTGCAGTATTTGACTATCCTTTTATTCCACATGTCATAAAGAAATTTGCTATGTTTCTAGCGAAATTTACTATGTATTGTTAGTACAAGACAAACCTTACTGATATATAGTCCATTATTGCACTACTAAACTTGGTAAATTTGAAAAAAATTTATATGAAAAAAGAACTATAGCATTCTTTTCGTCTAGTTACACGTTTTTGTACGCAGTTCATAGCATACACGTTGGTGTATGACGAGGAGAGTCTTGCAGCTTGATTTGATGATTCAATTCTTGTTGCTATAAGGATCAAACTCGATACCGTCGATTAGATATCCCGATAAAGGGTTGTCGGTTGGCGTGGGCACCCTTGTGCAAGAAGGGGCTCGCATAATCCCATGAATACATAATTCAGATGCAAACAGCCTCGCCACGCGCGCGTCCCGATTTAAACGGTCGCGATTATTTCACGGATCAAAACGCGGATATTTGCGCTATTTTTCACGGTGTCGCCGAGGAGACGATCGCCGCACGATCGTAGCGGTATTTTCGTTTAAAATTTCTCGAAACTACCACACTGGTTATTTCAGGACAAAAGGTCGATCAGCACAGCAAGTCGAGAAAATCGTCGATGCAAATACAGATAATCGCGATAGCCTGCTTTTTTACACGATAAATGGGTGGCGTTGATGGATGAGACTCGATAGAAGACGGATTATCGACTTTTGCAGCCCGTAAAAAATGTTGCCGTGCAGATATCGCGAACATCGATCATGACGGAACAATTGTGTGTTACAGATAAGAAAAATATCAACGCGTTTGAAGATTGAGAAAGAAAATTTCGCAATAATCGGGGAAACAAAATATTGTATGATGGAGAAAAATTTTTGTCAAGATGTATTTTTTATTTTTATTATTATCATTACTTGCATCATACTCTGAGAAAAAGATATTTGAAATTTTACTTGTGAGATAAAAGTTTACTTCATAGAAATGAACTTTATTTCACGGAAATAAACTTTATTTTGCAGAAATAAACTTTATATTCCGCAAATAACATTTCACGTATTTTTTTCTCAGTGCATCAACTCGTCTCGGCTCGCAAAATTAGCCTGTTATTTATCATCATCGGCTGTTATACTGTAAAATAATCAGACAAAGGCACATAGTATCCAATAATACAGACCGAATCCTATCACAATGTGCTTCCCTGATGTTATACAGGAGAAAGCACGTAAAAACAAAACGGAAGAATAAATACGTTATTTGTTCCAGGTAAAGTTCGAGAGGTGTAAAATCGCGTAGCAAAATAACATGTATATCCAGTAAAACGATAATAAAATTTATTATTCATTAATAGTAACGTGTAAAGTAAAGTACTAGTAAAATACCAGACGGAGACAATTGTCGATAGAAACGCCACTACCGTTCGCATACTCGAAGCAAGATTACATTCTCACAAATGAGCTTCGCTACATCGCTCGAGTCACGTTCGATCGATCGCGCAACGATATATATGAGCGCACATGCGCTTTTAGAAGTTGAAGTGTACCTTTATTCGTGCAAAAATACACGTACGATAAAACGGGAGCGTTCAATGGACGAGACGCATTCACTCTTTCTCTCTCTCTCTCTCTCTCTCTCTCTCTCTCTCTCTCTCTCTCTCTC